TTTACTTCGTAAAATTCATAATTTAATGAAACAAAAGATAAATAATTTGTTTGATTTTATTTTATTTTTAACCAATTTATTAGAACACGATGTTCTTCAAATCTCGCAATAACCCGATAAATCCGGAAATATTCAATTTAGGAATTGTGACCTATTATAAAGAAGCAAAAATTACCCTACCTATAAAACAGGCGACGACGTTTGTTGACGTTGTGCGGAATATGATTCCGAATCGCTACGTTTAATCCAACTGGTAAAATTATCTGGTCTATAAGTCTTTCAAACATGTGGCTGTTTATATTAATATTTTTTTTTTCAGAGATCTACAGAGGTACCATTTGCACTGCTCGCAATGGTCCGGATTTTATTTTGATTTTTATAGCCAATAATGGCGATTTCAAATATTTGGCCTTAAAATATACGACCCGGCCCGGATATTCCAGGCCCGGTCTGGGCATATTTTAAAAATGTACCCAGGCCGGGCTTGAGACCGGGCCTGCTGGTCTCTGATTTTTTTATGTTAGCGGTTCTTATTTCTATAATATATTTTATTTTGTATAGAACGAAATTTTTTCACCACTTAATTCCAATTCGTAAAATTTTATTAAAATATTTTTTTTTCAAAAAAGAAAAAAAATCTAATTAAATAACTTTTCACCACAAAATTATAAAATTTTTTAACAGCTAGGATAATATCTGACTAACCTCATAAATATTGTAAGTATGATTCCCAACCCTGTTAAATGCCTCATTTTATTGAAGGGTCGTTTTTTCAATTTTTCTGTAAATTTCCCGGGATATGGTAATTTTTTTCAGTAATTTTTTCTCTTTTTCCTACGACTTTCGGATATTTTTGACTAACCAATAAAAATGTTTTGATTTCAACTCATTGTTTATCTTGATATTTACATGGTATTGTATTAAATATATACTAAATTGCTCTATTTGATATAAACTAAATATTTATAAGACAAAAGCTTGGAGTTGGGTGAAGCTCTGAGTCTCGCCGGAAGCATGTTTGATGATTTGAGCAAACCAACATTTAAAAAAGCGATCTGGGTTTATATTTCAGGGCTAAATGATGATGCCGCTATTAAAAATGCTCAAACTTTGAAGTATAAAGGTAAGCCCGATATCTTAATTCTTCAATAAACTATTATAATAATGCTTTTATATTTTTTTAAGTATTGAAATATTTGTGTTCACTTTTAGTACTAAAGTCAATATGGAACACTTGTACAAAATAGCTTCCTCCCCTTCCCATATCCTATGGTTTTCGGATTATTGTGCGGCTTCTAAAACCATTTATAATATATAAATTGTTATCGCATTATAACAATAACATTTTAAATTCAAATTGAAAATAATTTTATTATTATCTAAATTAATTTTTCATAGTTTATTTCCTATTAAATCATATATTTATCATTCAATAATCGTATTCATTATCATGTAATAAAAAATATTATTCTAATTATAAAAAGAAAAATTAATATCTAAAAAAAATCAAATGTAAAAATAGACTTGACAAAAAGAAAATTTCACAAAAAGTAACGATGATTTTAAATAGATACTTTTGCAAAAATTAAGATAAAATTCTTTAATATTTTAAACTATCTCGTTTAGTGTTTACTATTATATTTATTCTCTTCATTTATTAAGACAGTAAAGTTTTATGATTAATGTTGCTATAATACAAATAAACCATAATTATGTTTCATGACAGAAGATTTATTATTTTTTTTCGTTTCATTACAGTATAATTTTATTTTTCATATTTTTAATTTGGGAACTTTCTAAGCTTTGGGCGTCATAGAGTTGTGAATAATATATTTAAAATTCAAAATGGCACACACATGTTTAATTTTTTTAAAAAAATTAATTAAAAATTTATCTTATATTCCTAAAATTTCGATTTTGATACCTTGTCCCGCTTACCTAAATTAGTTATGAATTTAGAGGTCAAGAATTCGTTAATTAATTAATCTTATCAAATGTAATAATAATTATGCGCAAAATATCTTATTAAAATTAGAAAACATATTTTTTTAAAATCTAAATTAAGGAAATCATATATTTATATAATAATAGGTATAAAAAAGGAAATTAAAATATGGTTCAAATTTTTAAAAAAAATTTTCCCTCCTTCTAAGATTAAAATTTAAAAAGCCCGATTCGGGTCGTTTGAATGAAAGAAAAGAAAAGAAAAGAAAAGAAAAGAAAAGAAAAGAAAAGAAAAGAAAAGAAAAGAAAAGAAAAGAAAAGAAAAGAAAAGAAAAGAAAAGAAAAGAAAAGAAAAGAAAAGAAAAGAAAAGAAAAGAAAAGAAAAGAAAAGAAAAGAAAAGAAGATAGAAAAGAAAAGAAAAGAAAAGAAAAGAAAAGAAAAGAAAAGAAAAGAAAAGAAAAGAAAAGAAAAGAAAAGAAAAGAAAAGAAAAGAAAAGAAAAGAAAAGAAAAGAAAAGAAAAGAAAAGAAAAGAAAAGAAAAGAAAAGAAAGAAAGAAAGCAAAATAATATAATCCTGGAGACATGGCAGAATGATTTAGACATCTATTTACAAAATCATAATAAAAATAATATAATAAAAACAAAATGTCCGACAATAATAATTTTTTTTTTAAAAATCAATGATTTTCTTCTCGAAAATTATAATTACAAAAACGTCCATAAATGACAATTGCAAACTGACAGAAACTAATTTAGTCGATCTATGAAAGAGGTATAGAATTAGCAATCAATTTTGAGTAATCAAATTTCGGAATTATTTGTATTTTACTAGGGGGAGAGGGAAGGATAAAAATGTGATTCGATCTTATTTCATATATTTTTTCAAAATTAAATTTCATCCATCAGCTGTCAGTTCACTATGATTAAATTCAACATTTTCAAATACAAAAATGTGGATTTGAAGAAAAATAGGAGTGGGTTTAGGGTTTCCCGTTGCGACTTGATATTGAATCTTCAAATATTGATTATTATTTTCTTTAAAATGAAGTGATCGTCTCTTATTAGTATTTTTATGTAATCTTATGTTTTTCATTTTCTGCTTCACAATGCTAGTTAAAAGTAAAACAAAACTAGCACCACCCCCCCCCCCCCATTTCCCATAATTAGACATTTTAATTAATCGAACATGGGCTTTTAATCTATCTTTTCATTTCGTATAACGTTTAAATAAGCAGTTTAATGCCTCTTTCATGCATAAGATACAGTCTGCTCAAAAATACATGGAAGCCCTGCTCATAATTATTTCCCATAATTTTTTGTTTTCCCAAAAACCAATCTGCCCTGTAATATATATACAACAAATAGGCCTAGGTGCTTAATATCATGTATCACATAAATTAATATAAGAGTTATTAATTGAATGAAAAAGTAAGATATGATTCTATATAATACACATCTTTAATTCTGAATGATCTAACAGGAATTAAAACAATATATTTGTCGACAATTTTTAACCTATAATTATATTTTAAAGGTCTATAATTGAAATTAGCCATAAAAGGTTAACATAAATATTTAGAAATGATTGGGTTATGTTTTATTAATAAAAAATCTTTGTTTACATTATAAAATCTTATTTTAACATGTTTTTCACTATATTTATTTACTAATTGTTTCAAAAATTTTTCAAAAAAAAGGTTTAAAAATAATTATTAAAACTGTAAAATTCTAAGTTTTAAGTGAGAGGGAAATTTATTCCCACTCCAAATTCAATTATATACTGAAATTGTAGATACATAGTAATTCGTTTAAATTTACATCATTTTTATATTTATCTGTGGATTCTAAATTTAAACTATTATGCTTATAGAATACAATCTAATAATCAATATATTAAGATATTTAATAATTGTCCAAATACAATTACTTTAATATACTACAATTGGTTTATAAAATATTTTATGTATAAAAATAAATTCAAATTTTTATAAACTTAGCGGGAGGCACGAGAAAATTTTTTTAAAAATTGGCGGGATTCGACTATATCTCTGAAATAGTCTCTTTCCTTTTAGGGTGAGAGGAGGATGCTATATAATCTACAAGACAGACCATTGTTTAAAAAATAAGACAAAATAGGTCGACCCAAACACTATTAATTTTCAGAATAAAAGCTCTCTTTTAATTTTAAGGTTATAATTTTGTTGTTAATATTTTTTTTCCCCTTATATTGCTACTATACAGATAAAAGCACAAATAAAGAACGTAGCATTGGCATCGATTTTAGAATTAATAATTCAATTATGCAGCCAACTATTAACGGAGATGGTATAAAGACACGATATATACTTTAAAAAAATATAAAATAGATAAACAACCATGGGATATAATATCAAAAATGTAAAATTAAGATTTCTCAGTAGCCTAAATCGGGCCCGAATCCCTTAAAATAATTTCGTAACCCATCCCCACTCCCACACTTGCATAAATACAGACTATGCCACTGATTTTATATAAGGATCAGTTTGATTTAAAGCTATTCTATTGTTGATTGAAATCTAAAAATGTAATTAAGATAAGATGAGGCTAAAATTTAAATATAATGAAAGACTGATAAGGTTTGTACTACAAAAAGAATATTTAAGAATTTGAGCATTTTGATTTATATGAGATAATAGAAATTACAATATATTTTTTTTTAATGTTATTTCCAAGCCGTATATCCATTATTAATCATAGCTCATTTTATAGCTATCTCATTCTCAAATTTATACGAAATTGAATTAAATTTTAAAGCTTTTACATTTCCATTGTGCAAGTTTAATTAAAACATGTAAAAATTTAAAATTTATATATTAATCATGATACCCCAAAAAAGTATTTACAAAAAAGCTATCATATAAAATATGTTTTAAAAAAATATTAACTTTAATGTTTTACATACTAGTAAAGATTATTACATTTTTAAGTTACCAGATGGCAAAAAAATATTATTCTTAATTTCTAACTATATAATTTAGGCATGTTATAAACCAAAAAATATTTCTTTTTTAAGAAAGCTATTTCAGCTAAACTTTATTTTTTTTTAAAAAAAAATTAAATCTTTTTCTTATCAAAATAAAATTTCTACAATTTTCATTTAAGAATCTTGAATTAATAATTATAATTTAAGGTATACATCATCATATCTATTCTTATTGGACCCATCTCAAGGTATTTAGATGTTCTTAACGTTTTATAGATAAAAAAGTAGAAAAGGAGTAAATTTTTATGTATGTCGTAAGGTATGGAGGAATTTCTAAAATTTAGTTCTTCTATAGAGCAAATTTTCTTTTTTTTACTGATTTAGCTGGAATTGTATTTTCAGTTAATGTCGTATAACTTTGGATTAATTTTACTAAATATGGTACACAAACATTTATAGGAAAAAATTAATTTAAATTTTATTCATTCAAGTGTTCAAGGTAAGATTGTTCTGAATCGATAGGGTAAGGTTATATCAATTCTGTAAATATGCCACTAGATTGGCGATTCATGAATATACACAGGAAACAGTTCTAGCGCCATTTTTTTGGTTTACATATCGGACTAATTGTCTCATTAACCATATAATGACAAGACACATTCAAAAGCATTTAATGAATGAATAGGCAATCTAGGTTAATATATACATCATTAGGTGTACTTTAAACCCGTTTAACACTAATAAAATCTTCAGAGAATTAAAAGGCGAAGAATATTTATTCCTAATAATCCCTTCACTCCCTTAAATGGTTTTATATTCTCCTGGAATAATATGAGACTGATTGGCACTCAAGACATGATTTCTAAGATACCTAAATATGATGGATGAAATATTTAATTTAAGATCATGTATAGTTACATAAAAATATCTTCAAAAATTTATAAAAATAAATTATACTTTTTAAACCCTAAATGTAACTTTTTTTAAAAATATTTTCCATAATAAAATTTAATATTCATATATATAACTGATACCGAAATGCAGCGTCTTCATGATTGGATGGGGGGAGGGGTGGGTAGAAATCAGGGGCGTCGCTAGCCTTTACAATCTCAGGGGGCTCAACTAAAAAAAAATTATAGGGGGGGTCGCCCCCCATTGCCCCCAATTTGCGAGACTCAGCCCACTTTTGCCCGGCCTTCGGCCGGGTTTTATATTAATATATTATACTTTTTTAAAATTTGTTAACTCTGAACAATTATTCTGAATTATTTTGTCATTTATTATATTATGCATACAAAATAAACTGGCATATAAATAATTAAAACAATACAAGACATTTCTTAGAATAATATTTTTTAATATAAAATCTATTTATTACAGTATAAAATATTTTCGATTGCTTGATATAAAAAAATTTTGCCTTAAAGAATTACAAGTGATAAAAAAGGTTAATTAATTTGAAGAGATTCATGTAAATGGTGCAGGTAAATAAAAAATATATTTTATTAACTTTATTGTATATATCTCTATAAAAATGTTTATATATATATATTTTACAAAAAATAATATTTGACTAACATAAAAGTATAATCTTAAATTAACTAAAATATCAGTTACGACTAAAATAAAGGTTACCATTTGAAAATTAAAATAAAGGTTATAAATTATAAAACCAAAATTATATTATTAAAAAATGTTACAATTTGTAAAACTATAATTATATTATTCAAAAATGTTACAATTTGTAAAACTAAAATTATATTATTCAACATAATTCATATATATGCCTCAATTGATAATGGTTTTTAAAAACCATATAATATAATATAATATAATTCTTAGCAACTTACATTGTCATGAAACTAATATAGCTTCTGTTACCATTTTAGACATTGTTTTATAGAATGGACTAATAAGGAAAAATTTATAGGCCTAACCAAATCAACAATTCTTGAAGAAGAGATTATAAACGACAAAGAATCATAAAATTAAATGGTGATTAAAGTTTCCTCTTAGATGATATGATGGGTGAGATATTAAATTTCTAAAGATTATCTTCCATTTTTAATAATATATAAACGACTACACAGTTGACCATTATTGTTTATCTAAAATATGCAATTTGCTCTAAGCAGCTGTACTAATAATCTTAACTTACATTGCCATACAAATAATAGATACTGAATGACACTCACAATGTAAACTTATATCAGAATTTATTATGTTGGATAAATTGATAAAATAAAAACATAAAAATCTTTGGAAGAAATAATTATGCAAATATATTGAAGCGTGGAGTTATTTACACGGCAATGCCATATTAGAAATGAAACATTTTCTAACTATAAAATAAGGACCAGAATGATATGATGAAACAATTAAGATTTTATATATTGTCGCACCAGCTTGGTATATTATATCTTAAAATAATAGTAGTTTGTAATAATATCAAAAAATATACTTGTATTAAAAATTTAACTCAAGACTGTTTTTCAAAAAAGAAAAAAATAGCTTTCCTAAAACACGTAAAAAAAGTGAAGAAAAGATATCAAATTTATTACATCTATTGCAGGATGAATAATAAAATGTTTAATTTTTATATCTATTTATAACTAAATAGATGTAATTTACTGCAAAATGTTACCATATTTATTATCACCATTTATTATTAAAATTTATTATAATATTAACTGTAATATATTATATAACTGTCAAATACGTCTATAAAAGTGGCATTTTCTCTAATAATTTATAACCAACTATATATAATAGACGATTATAAACTATATCTCTATTTATTTAATCTCCTATACTTATTTGGACCTTGATAATATTTTTAGGAATAGGTATGAAAATTAAATTTAAAAATAAATATACAGTTGATTAGTCATTGAACTCGGCTAATTGTAATATTAAATTTGTTAATTTTCAAATAATATATGATTATATTTATTTAATTAGGGTTATATAATAATTTAAATAATAAAAGTCAATTAAACTTCATGTTACAGCTAAATTAATATTAAGTGAGTTATTGATATTATATTTTTAATACAGAATTTGATTGCAAGCTGACATAGTGAAAATATAAATATGTATTTATCTAATCTAATAATTAAAATAGTATTCATTTAATAAAAATTTAAATAGTCTTATTAATTTCTAAATAATAAAATTAAAGTATATATTGCTTAATGGAATTATAAAAGAAATCATTCAGGAGGCTATTAAAAAAATTTATTTTTAATTCAAGGGGATATTAAGGAGCCATTAAAAAAAGAAAGAAAGAAAGAAAGAAAGAAAGAAAGAAAGAAAGAAAGAAAGAAAGAAAGAAAGAAAGAAAGAAAGAAAGAAAGAAAGAAAGAAAGAAAGAAAGAAAGAAAGAAAGAAAGAAAGAAAGAAAGAAAGAAAAGAAAAGAAAAGAAAAGAAAAGAAAAGAAAAGAAAAGAAAAGAAAAGAAAAGAAAAGAAAAGAAAAGAAAAGAAAAGAAAATAATATAAAAAATTATTAAGCTCAAATCTTTAGAAAAAATTAAAACTATATAATTGTTATTTATATATTTTTTTGGATGCGAATAATATTAAAATATTTATTTATTTTTAATGCAAATATAAATATTTACAATAATGATATTTATAATTTTTCATTGCGGTTATTGCTTCAATTAATTCATATTTTCATTTAAATCCCATTGATCAAAAATATGTAAAAATTTCGTATAATTAAAAAAAATTGATGGATCTAATATTTCAAATAAATTTTCTAATTGTAACCATAAACCGTAAATTGTTACTCTTTAAAGAATGCAATTGTAACTGTGTATTTTTTTAAAGTAACTTTTAACAAGAGTAGACCTCATATTAAAAAATTAATTTTAAAAATATATCTTTTAAAAAATTACCTTTTTATATATAATTTCGAATTTACATGGTCCAATTTTTAATTTATTATTTCAAAAAAAAGAAGATCGAATATAATAATATACTAGAACTTACTTTAATCATATTTTTTTTTATTTTGCTTATTCAAATTTAGATCATGTTCAAGGAAATATTATTGATCCTGTTTGTCTCTTTCGAATTTCATCTGACTACTGAATGGATAGACGGCAATGATCATCATCATATTAATCATATTAACAGATTTGGGTTATGGAATCACCCATATCATAAAAGGATTTATAGTCATACATCCAAATGTAACAAATATTTTTCATGAATTACTAAGGGTTGTATTTATTATATTGTACCCACTAATTTCAACTTTATATGAATATTACTTTTAAGATCCAGAATTTGATCCTCAAATTTTCAAAAATCTTGTGGCTCCTGTGAATACACCCACAGATATTATCATACTTTGGGAATTGGCTTACGATACAACGGGAGATTATGATTGCGCAATGTGCCTCTACTTCGTAAATTCATAAATTAATTGTTGAAATATTATTCTCCATCTTGAATAATGTTTATTCTCCATCTTGAATAATGTTCATTATATAATCTATTATTTAAATTTTTCTTTAAAAAAAACAACTAATTATAGGGTACGATGTTCTTCAAGACTCGCAATAATCCTTTAGATCAAGAAATATTTAATTTGGGAATCATAAGCTATTATAAATATTCAAAAATTACTTTACCTTTAAAAAAGGCAAATACTTTTGTTAAAGTTGTACAGAATGGAGTTCCGATGGCTACATTTAATGCAACTGGTAAATATTCTTACATCGACTGATTTTTAAAATGATTGAGAGTTATCCATTTAGGTTAAAAAGTGTCAAGAAATGTTTCAATAAACGTTATCTTCTATTTTTTTATATTATTATCTATCTACCACCACGAATCGATCTGCATTTAATTTTGCCCATTTTCTCCAACATCATCCTATTTGCTGATACGTGACAGATATTTTTAATTTTATTTTCTAAATTGTCAATTTACTTACAAGACAGAATTATAATCGATTCTAGTAAATAGTTTTGTTAGATTTCGTTTAAAGAAGAGAGCACATATACTCTGTATTAGTAAGATGGCAGGGTTAGCGTAGCAATTTAAGATGTAACTAGAGTAGTATGGAATGGAAAGCAATATATTAAAGGATTTTATGAAAGTAAGACTGTTTCATCGTATGATAAGGGATTAAAATCAATTTTAATAATGCTTGTTTTGTAGGTTGCTTCTAAGAAATATACGGGTTAAGAGAACTAGCAGCCATCTTTAAAAATCACCACCTACCTGGAGCGAATTGTGGGTTGAAGAGATTTCTCATAAATTTTGGGCGTAAATGATTTTGATATATATTAACGTTAAATATAATATATCGATATTTATATCGAGAATCTTTAAGAAGAGTTAAATACCTATCATCACATGTATTTAGTATTTTGCTGCTATCTGGCTTTAAATCGGCTTAAATTATAATACTTAAAAACCCGTTAAACGTAAAATATTTTCCTTCTAAAAATATTTAATTGGTTTATTAATTAAAAATAATAATTTTAAAGGGCGAATAAATTATTGTTAACAATAATTGCCGTTAAATATTAGCCTGAGGAAATATCTTTCAGAAATTATATGTGGCCTAAACAAATGTATCTTTTTTTCACAAATTATATATAGCCTGAGAAAATATCTTTTTTTCATAACTATAAATAATATTAGAGCTTGAGAAAATGTATTACTAGTTTAGATGACAATATGGAGATAGAATAGTATATTTCTCAGGCGTTGATATTTATTTACTCAGTTAGTGTAGTGACTATACAAACTAATTTTTTTGCACATAGAATGCAACTAATTAACTTTTCTGACTTTCAATGTTGCAATTCATTCTGACAACAGATATGTTTAATTTGAATACTCAAGATATTTATATTAAAAAGTGAATATTGTCATTAATACATTTAATTGCACTAAAAATATTGGACCCTATTAAAGCTATTTGATAGGCAATTATCGGTCAACTGATCGAATCGTGTTCAAATACCCAACCTCCTTATTTAGACTCACAAGTTACACAATTATTTATTTGGTAACCTTTTAGCTTAAAAATTATAAAAAATGCTATTCGATATTAACTAAATATTTTAAGACAAAAGCTTAGATTTGGGTAATGCTATGACTCTCGCCGAAAATATGTTTAATAATTTGAGCGAAACCAGCTCTAAAAAAACTATCTGGGTCTATATTTCAGGACCAAATGATTATGCCGCTATGAACAAAGCTAAATATTTGAAAAATAAAGGTAATGTCATTATATAATACCTCTTAAATCATTACAATAATGTGTTTTTATTTAGGTTTTGAAATATTTGTGTTCGCTTTTAGTACTAAAGTCAATATTGAACAATTGTACGATATAGCAACTTCCCCTTCTCATATCCTTTGGTTTTCGGATTATTGCACGGCTTCTCAAACCATTTATAATATGTAAATTGTTATCATTATGATAACAATATAACATTTCAAATTAAATCAAAAATAATTTTTATTTTCGCATTAATTTTTTCATAGTTTATATCTTTAAATATATATTTATTATGAAATATCATATGTTTATTTAATTATCAATTATAAATTTATTATAAAAGTATATAATACATAGAGTAGATACCAAAAATATTATTTTAATTAAGGGATAAGAAAAATGAATATCTAAAAAAACGAATGTAAGATATTCCTGAAAAATAAAATTTTTCAAAAAGGCTCGATACTTTTTAAAAGATACATTAGTAAAAAAAAATTAAGATCAAATTCTAAATATTTACAACTCTCTCCTTAACAATTAACTGTTTACCCTATTTATTGCTTTATTTTATTAATTTTGTTTTTTTTAGTTAAATATGTTTATAAATTATAGTGTAAAAATTACAAATAAAAGAAGCGTATTTCTCTTTAAATATCTCATTATGAACTAGACGGAAGAATTATTCTTTTGGTTCAGTAATAAATTTATTTTGGGGAAAAAATATCCATATCTACTAGTTATAAAAAATATCGAAGTAGATAAGTCATAAAGGAAGCAATAATTATATGGCAAATCATGTTTGAAAAAATTAATTTAAAGTTTGTTATAAATCATTATTAAAGATTTAAAATTATAATTATAGTTCAGATTTGAGTTTTTAAAATAAATAATTGAGAAAAGAAAAAATAGTGTTAAAATAAAATATTTTTAAAAAAATACCAGATTTTTTATCCCCTTAAAATGGTGTTCCCGAAATTTATTTAACCAAAATGGTCACTAATTTTAGTAAGATATCTTGGACGTATTTATAAAATTTATTAATAAATTCCTTGTATAAATTTTATAACAAATCAAGTTGAGATAGGAATGAGATATAGGAAAGAAAATTTTTATATGTCTTATTGAGGAAGACTTAGTTAATGACGCTCTTCTTGCTGTTACATATATTTCCCTCAAAATGGATGTAAAATTAAGACATATTTGAATAAGGAATTCTAGATATCATCGATCCATATTTTTTTATACTCTATTGCATAAGCTCTGTCTTAATCTTTTATAAGTAAATTTTTTTTTGTAATTTTCATGTATCGAAAATCTTTCAATATAAAAATTTTAATAATTTTTCAACCTCCGCTGACGACTAGCAGATCTTATAGAGAATAAAATATGTGGAAGTATTAGCAACACTTTTAAATATGATATAAACATAATTATCTAAACAAAAGGCAATTAAAGAAACAACAATATGTTTATTATTTTTTTAAATGTTTCTTTCTTTCTATTTAAAATTTTTTTTTTTTTTGGGGGGGGGGGGGGGCAAAATTGGAAAAAATAAAACATTAAATTTCTCAAATAATGGGGGGTAAAGGGAATGAATGGTTAAAATTAAAAGGTTAGAGAGATATGAGTTAGAGTTCAAATTAAGATGTTGGAAAGATATGGGGATGTGGTTAAAATTATAAGTTTGAGAGATATGGAGTAAATTTCGTTTCCTTCTGCAATGTTACAAATCCTTTAATTCTGTTCTATTTATTTTTTACAATTAATTACGTTAAAAATATTGTATAAGAAGATATTTATTAATTTTAAAAATTAGAGATATTGAGAATAGTGTTGTTAAAAAACCCGATTCGAGGCGATTTTAGAGAACGGCCCGATTAAGATTATAATCAAAATAACATGATGTTATGTACTAAAGATTTTGCACATAGCTGGCAAAAAATGCTTGGACATCTATTTTTTCCAACGTATTATTATTTTATTTTATGGTAAAAAAATTTTCATAAAAATATGCCAATTTGTGGATTTTATTTTATTGAAATTTTAAAATATAATTATATACATATATTATCTTTTTTAATAGCTATAACCTCAAACTTTACTTCACTATGAGGATGTCTTTTTTTGTAATGTAAATTAAATTTATCTTTTCTAATTTTTTTGGAGGTACAGCATGTATGCAAACATTTTACCTTGTAACATATTTTATTGCTTGGCATTTAACTTAAAATTTATATAGATTGTAAAAATTGATTTAATTAAAAATATTTATCTAGATTGTAAAAATTGATTTAATTAAAAATATTTATAATTTAATAATTACGTGATACGTGATATATAGCGCATCGCCCTCTAACGTTGAATACACAACAGAGCTAAGCTAGGTTTTCCTCAAAATCTATCAAACTGGATAGTTAATTAGGGGAAGAAAAATGAGGAGCCCTTCACACGTTTGTGGGCTAGCCGTACGTACTTGTAGGCGCAACATTTCTGAAAAAGTTACTTAAACCTCTATAGGCTTAGTAAAAAGGAGTGGGATAAAAAAAAGAGCCTATACCCGAAAACTGCAGTATAATTTAATTACTTTAAAGGTGGGTGATGGCTGATTTTAATAAATTCTTTAATGTAAGTTTTGATGATTATTATCAGTATGAGATTTAATGTTCATAGAATATAATTAATAAAATAAAAAATAACATAATTTGAATAAACATAATTAAATGAATGCGCGTTACATAAATAAAAACATAATACTATTCAATAACCAAATATAATATTTTAATTTATTAATTCCTATAATATAACATTCGCAAATTAGCGTATTATTTTTTTATAAAAATATGCCAATTTGCGGATTTAATTGTATTGAAATTTTAAAATGTAAAAATATAATTATTATTAATCTTATTATATTGAAAGATTTAAACCAGGGTTGGTATGTCGGTCAATTGACCGGAGGAGTATTTGACCGGTCTAATACGGTCAAATACGGTCAAATACGGTCAAATACTCTAAAATAGAGAATAAATATTTTGATAAATTAACTAGTATGCATTAAAAGCATGTTTATCAATTTTATTAAGTTACAATTTATTTTAAAATATATTTGCATCATAAATAATCCAAAACAATAGAATTTTTTTTGTTACTAAAATAAATAAATACAATAATTTAGCTAAGTCATGGTTTGTTATGAAAAATTTATTTAATATTTCGCCCTGTATAAATTATATTAATTCTCATATATTTTATTTATACTTGTTACATATGAATATAAAAATTAATTTTCTTTTTTTTGTTCAGGTCAGATTCACAAAATAATTTATTCAATTCTGGTAAAATATTATATATTTTATTATATAATATATTATATTATAATATTAAGCCAAATTATTGAAATAATTACCGATTATTATAAAATAATAAAGTTTGATTAACTTTACAATAATCTAAATCTTTTTAATTAAATTTTCATATATTAGGGATTATGGTCAAACCAAAGCATCAAGCTTGGAAACATTTTAAAGAAGTACGCGATGGAAAATCAGTTAAAGCGGTATGCAGGTTTTGCAAGATGTCCTATATTACCCACGTTGATAGAATGGTCAAGCATTTATTAAGCAGCTATACTATGTGCCCTGTCAGAATTAAGGAAAATTTTTATTCAAATTCCAAAATTTCAACCTCTACAAAAAATCCCATAAATGTAGTCTGTAATACTTCTAGCTCTGATGAAGAAAAGGGTGAAATTATCGAGAATGATTATCAAATTGATAATATTTTGTCTTGTGACTCAAAAAAATTTGATTCCATTATCTCCAATCAATTTACAAACAAGGCGATTAAATGTAAATCTCAATCTTGTATAAACGGTTTTTTAGATAGAATTAATCCCAAAAAAAATATGAGCTAGATATATTGTTTGCAAAGGCTGTATATGCGAGCAATTTATCTTTCCACATCATGAAAATCCCTACATCTAAGAATTCTTTAAAAATTACGTCCTATTTACATTTTACCCAGGCAAAGGCAGCTTGCTGGTTATCTTTTAGACAAAGCGTCAGGAGATATAGAGGCGAGAGTAGATATATTAGATAAATCTCCTCACTTATCAATTGTATCAAATGGCTGGAGCAACACAGAAACGAGAGTATTATTAATTTTATGGTGATGACGCCTGATCCAGTATTCTACAAATTTTTAATACTGAAGCAAATTCTCATAGGGCAGATTATATTGCCTAGGAATTTAAAAATATAATTCATGAATTGAATCTGGTAAAAGTATATTCTTTAGTTACTGATAATGCCGCTGACATGAAAGCAGCGTGGAGAATTCTAAAATCTGAATATATTTATAATCATATACAATGTTATGGTTGTGCATCGCCACGATTTTGAACGATTGAACGGCGTCAGTTACCATATTTCAATAATTAAAAAAATTGTTAAATTTTTCTAGAATAAACACATACCAGCTGCAGTATTTTCCCGTAATAGGAATTAACATGACATACCATCTACTTTATGTACACTTAGCCAAACAAGATGGGGATCGTCAATGAAATGTATGGAGCGAATACAAATATGTAAGAAAGCACTTAAAGCATCAGTTGTTGAAGAATCTGTGTGTGAATATAATACCTAGACTGACGATTCATTTATTAAAAGTGTACATCAATGCAAATCAACTAGAGATGCCATCTTGGTTACACTAATCATTAATAAAATTTTAAACGAGATCCTTTATTCCTATATCTGATGCAAACTTTATTAAAGAAATACCGGATCATTGTGATAATAAAGCAAGTTATCAATTTAATAGTAGTTTTTAACATGATAATAATTATTATATGTGTTACCAAAATGGCGGGTCCAGCTGATTTGCTTTTAACGACGCTTAAAAATGCATTTTAATGAATGAATCGTCAGTCTAGGTATTATATATGTCATTGTCTATACCATAATTTATTGTCAAAAAATAATAATGTAATTTTCATGCAAAATTCTCTATTAATATTATAAATATTGTAATTATAATTACGTATGTAGTTGCATAAGAAATATTTTCATATTTTGAATGAATATTTTTAAATAATGGAACTGTTCAAATTTTTGGCGATTAATCGTCAAAATTATTTATAACATCTTATAAAACAGCTGATTAATAATTTTTTGGAAAACTTATTAATTTTAATTAATGCAAGTGGTTAGAATTTTTAAATATAGATTTTTGGAAAACTCCAGTACACCCATAAAATCCCAAAAATATAATTTTGATCAAATATCTATATAAAATTTGAAGGAAGATAAGAATTAACTTATAGCTGAAAAATAAGTCGATTTCATGATTTAACAAATATTATGTAACTAAGTTGATATAGTTAAATTATGTTTGAATAATACTTGTTGATTCAATTAATGTTGTTAAACGACTCTATTTGAGCCTATTTTTAATAAAGGGATACTCAATATTTTAACTAAAAATATTGCCTTGACCTCAAGATTTATCTAAAATATGTCCAAGTCTTTATGCCATTTATCACCTAAATCTTTAGGCTTGATAAAATATTGGATTAACTATTTATAAAAATCTTCTCAAATCGGGCCGTTTAACAATACTAGAATCAATTAAATATATGTAAATAAGAAAATTTTAAAATAATTACAATTCAAATTATGATCAATGATTGAGTAGTGTAAAATTAATAAAAATAAAAATATTATAATTTTTATTAAAATATATTTTTAAATGCCTTAAAATCATTTCCAAAGTTAATCTGTATGTTTTATTCATGTTCTAGTAAAACCAAGCTATCCTTTTTTATAGCAGTATTCGAACGTTTATCTAATTTAACTATTCTCTTTTATGATTAGAAAGTTAACTCACAACTCAATATGGATGATCTAAACCGATGCAGAATATAAGATGAAAATGCATTTTTTATGAATATATAGTTTCGACAAAATATTATGTAACACAAATCTTTATAATTTTATAAAATAAAATTATAACTATTACAATTCATATTTTGAGCAATGTATAAGAAAAAATAAAGCATTTACAATATAATTTTGGCTGAGATATATTTTTAAATGCCTTAACATTTACAAAGTTAATCTGTATGTTTTATTCATGTCCTAGCAAAACCCAGTTACTCCTTTTTTATATTAGTGTATCAACGTTTATATGATTTAGCCATTCTCTTTAATGATTATAAAGTTGATTCACAACTCTTTATGGATGATCTTAACTGAATTGAAAATGGAAATACATTTTTTTATGAATACATAGATTTGACAAAATATGATGTAACACAAATCTTTATATCTTTATAAACTTATAATAAATAAATTTTTAAGAATCTAAATTTTATTTACTAATCTCTTCAATATTATTTTCCAATATGGTTTAATTTATTTATATGTAGATTCCAATTATTTTTCAAATTTTTAATTAGTTTAAAAAATTGAAAAATCTTTTGGATAGGATTCTCTTCTTCTATATAATTTGTACTATTTTCAAAAATTTCTTTAAGTTGGTAAAACTCGTTTTGGTAAATCGATTCACCATCGTTTAAGTTATAGATCCTACAAAGAAAGTAAAAAATTGTACCAGCTTCAATTACAAAATATTATTCCAGTGTTCTTGGCCCATTTTATAATACATGACTAATATCAATTGGCTCTAAAATATATTTAAAATAATAAATCTTTTTGTTTTTACAATCTCAAGCTCATTTTACTTATTATCTTTGCACCTATTATTTTCACCCGCATCAAATTAATTATATTTACTTCTCCTTGTTCCTCATTACCATATGAGGTCCGGTTGGTGCTATTAGGTATTTCAGATAGTGTTAAAGAACCCGATTCTGGTCTATTTATAAAAAAAGGCCAGATACAAATTTTAGCCAAAATATTATATAAGTTTGGAGATCTTGCTTATAGATGGAAGCAAGACTTGCCCTTCTATTTGATAAATTACGCCAAATCTCGATGCTTACATGATATTATTTTGGTTGTAATCGAGCCGTTTTTAAAACTCACCCAAGCTTTTTAACAATAGTTTTTTTTTTAAACTGATAGTGATGTTAAAGTTATTTCTCTTCTATTGCATTCTTATTTTTAAAAAGTTATTACCAATATTTCAAATGGACCATGAAAATTTTAAATATTTTTTTTGAAGTGGGGGGGAGGGGGGGCTTGATGCAAATTTTTTTTCAAGGGTAGAGGGAAGTTTAAAATTTAGATGAGACTACTTCCCCCCACCCCCAAATAGACCTAGAATCGAGTCTGGCAATAAGAAGATAATATATTTGCCACCGATCATTTCATTTTTTGCCGTCAAATAACTGGTTGTCAATCTTTTAAATGTAGCACTTTATTCCCATTTTCTATACTATTACATAAAATTATACGATACTCAAATGAAATCTGTAAAACTTAATACAGGTCACTCAATGCCTATTATAGGATGTAAATATAAATACTATAATTTTTATTTGATTATAATATATTTATTATTAACTCAGATAAGTTAAATTTTAAAATTAGAGTAATAATATTATAGTAAGAACATAATACTAATACAATTTTTATTTGATAAGCAATCAACGTTTATTGATAAAAGTTTTTACATCAAATAAAAATATCTAATTAGATATTTTAATAATAAAATAACTTCATCATTGATATATTTGTAATTTTCTTTTTAATATTTATAAGCTTAAATTAATTGAGAATTTCCATTAATTATTTTATTGTGTTTTAGCAATTTCTTACTCATTTAAATGTTTAGTACATTCTTTTAAAAATTTTGTTGCCATAATTTAATACTTGAAACAGTAAATAAAATAAAACATAATTATTACTTGATATATATAATATATTTTAAATCTGTAGTAATGCTGGTCATAAGTTAAGAAAAATAACCCAATTTTGGAAAAAATTTAAATATAGAAAAGAATAATTTAAATCATGCACCATAATCTAATATTATTTATATATGCTGTAAAACCTCTAAATGAACAGAGAATTTACTATATTCAATAGATAAGTTTCTTAACTATATAATGCTATAATTATTTTATCCAATAATTGTAAATAAATAATTTAATTTTTATTTTTTGTATGATGTTATTTGTTTTTCATACAAAATAAGCATGTATAAATAATACAAAGTAAATTACAAAATTAAGACAAATTTAGTTAAATAAATCTAAGAATATAAAATAAAAGACTAATATAACAACGAATTATGTGCTATTACTTAACTGTACAAATCAATTTTAGTATTATTTAGCATTATATCTTATTGGCTGCTTAGACCCACAAATTTACCTAATAAAACTGAAAGTTAACTTGTGAGGTTTAATTATAAAACAATTTAATACAGTCATAAGTCTAAATTCTTAATTGTAACATAGCAAGAAAATGGACAATCAAAACAGTTAAATTATCAATGTATAGTGCTAATATGATTATATGATTTTATTTCTAATGTGTATAGCATAGCATATTGATATTTCTCACATGCTAACAAATGTTATATTTATTCCAAAAATTTTCTAACTTTAATAATTTTAGCAATAACTAGAAATATATTATGATTTTAGTTGACCATTCTATATAAATGTTAACACCGCAAGAGTCTCATACAATATTTCTAAAAAATATTTTTTTACATTTATTTAAGTGGGTACATATCTGATAAAGGACAAAGATACTATAATGGAAGTTGTCCGTGCATCCCTTGAAAGTGGTTATCGAGCCTTTGGTAATTATTAAACAATATTTATAATTGTGAAACATTATTATGTATATAGAATTAAATAAGGCAGTTTTTTTATAACAATTGAAAGCAAAATTTCTATAGAAAATAGAATATTTTGTCTTTTTTTTCAAAAATTCTTCAGGCAGATTTCTATATTAATCTTGTCATATGTCTAGACTTTAAAGTTATTTTTATTTTGCAAAATATGTAATTTTTATTCCAGAGATGCACCAATACCAATAGTAGCCTTATTTTATATTGTTATTTTTAGAAAGAGATGTACTATACTCATGATATTAGCCAATATTAATGAAAAATAGTTGAGTAATCGCTAAATGTTGGCTAATTCACCTTAATCTACAAGGCTCGGTTTTAATTCGTACCAGTTTTTTTTTCAAATTTGAGCCACTATATATTTAAGAAAAACAACCAAAGCCAAAGGGATAGTTTTTGGCTAAAAACTCGGTCTTAAAATTGGCTTAAATGGCTAAAAATATTGTCCTTACCAGTGAGTTAATTTTGAAATATCGGCGTATTTTTTTAAGCCATTAATTTATAACAAAAAATAAATTGATCCACAGATCTTGTAGCATATAGGAAAGAAGAAAATATTTAAAACTAAAATATAAAGTTGTTTATTAATATCATTTCCTTTTTTATCATGCAATTAACCTTATAAGAATGAACATGCACAACAAAAAAAATCGTAAATACGAGCATTGGATCAGCATCCAAAAAAGTTGAATACGGTGCTATTATGTGCGTAGTTATTTTATAAACTGTGGAAGTCATTCTTTTGATATGTTAAATTGCGAAATCATTCTTTTTATGTTAAACTGCAAAGTCATTCTTTTTTGGTTATGAATATTTTTCTTTGATAATTATATTTTACTTTTATTAAGATAAATAAATTAAAATTAGTCACTCTTTATAAAAAATTATATTTGATATATAATTTTATTTTATTATTGTATATTATATTATATTATACTAGTTGATAGCCCGTCAAGAATGACGGGAATTAATGTTCTTAAATATTGGATATTAAACTTGGACCTTATAGTAAAATTTAGTAGAAAAAGAGGTAAATTTGTAAATCATACCTCATAAAATATTCGTAATTTCTGATTTAAATATTGGGAAAAATATTAATACCCGCCTTTCTCGAAGGGCATAATTATAACTAATAACACCAGAGCTCCCGTTAGTCAGCATTGCTGTTCGTTCCCCACCGCGTGAAGGTGGGAGATGGGTTTTAGGGGAGCAAAGAATGAATAAAAGAAGGTAGAAATATAGGAAAAAGAGACAAAAATATGAAAAATAATAATTTACAACCATATACTATAAGCGCGGAATTAACACCGCGTGTCGGTATCGGTTCTAAATCGCTAAACGATAAATAGCCAAAAAAAGGGATGTTCCCGATTTTGTTACCAGTAAAAATCCTATTAATGTTTTATTTAAAAAATGAAGATCCAAACCGTAGCAAAAAACATAAATAAATTACTTAAGTATAAGAAAATTAAGTATTACTAAATTTGTAGTGTCTGTTTAATAATATAATTTGTAAGATATAAATTTGTATTAAGTATTTAAATATAACGATGTTTTATTGCCATTTAAAATATTTATTAAATTTCTAAAATGCTTTCTTAAAATTTCAAATATAGATATGTAATATATTCGTATATTAAGTATTTAATATAACTATTGAAGAAATTTTTTATTGCCATTTAAAATACTTAATAAATTTGTAAAACGTTTTCTTAATAATTTAATAGAGCTTAATAATCCAATGAAAAAAAATAAATATTGATTAAATTTAGTTAATTTTAAAAAATCAAATATAAATAAAGATTTTTATAACAAAATATAAAGCTTAAAGGGGCTGAACGGTAAGAACGTTTGCCTTACGGGAAGAACGTTTGCTTTTGAAATTAAGGCGCGAGTTCGAACCCCTAGAGATAATAAAAGCCTTCGATTTATTTAACATTAATAAAGAAAAAATAAAAATTAACGTTATAAAGATAGGAAAACGTTCATTTCTTGAATACGGCTATTATATATATAGATTATATGTAATATTTGTTAAATTATATTAAAAATATATTAAATTTTATAATTCTAGGGAGTAAAACATTAAAAAGATTATTTTGCGCAATTATTCTTTTAATCTATTATTATATTAAAAGGATTTATATAAAAAAATTGTTATTTTTAGATAAATGATTTATTTAATAAATTAAATATATATTATTTATTTTTTATAAGGCTATCGAATCTAGCGAAAATAAAAATATAAGCCATTCATAATGGAAAATTAAAAATGTTGGCCTAAATGATTTTTTTCCATTTCTCGCAAGTTTCGTGATTCTTAAAAAACTTTTACGATTTGTAAAAGTTTAATCTTTTTTATCATTAAACTTTTGTAATTTGTGTGAATAAAAATGGCGAATGAATATTAACTCATGGAAAATATTAAACCACATCGGTGTGGTCAACAGCGACCTAAAACATAGAGAAACGGCAGCTAGCTAAGTCAAGTGGGAAGAGATTGGGAAGAATTATGACCCAGGAAAAACAACATCAATTAAGATGAATCTAGAAAAGAATACTATCATCTGAAACCCCTTGAATTACAATGGAATTAAATTTTTTAAAATTAAAAAAATGTAAATTCACTATTTGTAGGTCGTTTAATTTTTTATAAGCTTTCCATCAATAGAACCTATGATGTGAGGAAAACTTGATTCCCTGAAGTATACTAATGATATTTCAAGCATCTGTTCAACTGTTGGTAAACAGTTGCTTGGGTTGAAGACCTACCCATATTAACCTGCATGTTGATGTGACAATAGTGTTTACTGATGCTTTGCCAATCTTTGCATATAATATTATTTTTTTTAAAGCTCATACCAGTTGTCAAATATCTATAAATATATTCTGAATGAGGGTTATATACAGCCGATGCTTCGATAAAGTTTTTATGTCTTATTATAGCGGTGTCTATGACTCCCAATTTCTAAGAATGTATGGAACACACAAAATTTTTCAGGATAAGAAAGAATACTATCATATATTCTAAAAAGTTCATGATATCTAGAATTAATTTATATATAATATAAATAATATCATATATATACTGGCCTTCTAAAAATCTATGCCTTTTTTTCTACGTTTAGTCGTATCTTCAAATAATATGAAAATAAAATATAGAATGAGTAAATCATTCACATTAAACATTTTTATATATTTTAAATTGAAAATAGGTGTATGATTCGGGACATGTTTCGTATCTCTCAAAACTTACGAAAGTTGTGCATTTCGCAAAACTTTTGAGTAATTTTTTTGATTTAGGACATGAATATAAAAAGGAAGAAAAAAAACGAAATAAAATTATTATTGTTGTCTTCAAATTTTTTTTAGAAATTTATTATTTTTTTCAAGTTTTCTAGGGGGAAAGAAAAATGCAAAGGAATTAATTTATAAAAAATTTATCATTAAAGGTAAAAAAAATGAATTTTCTTTTTGATAAATATTTAATAGAGTGTAAAAAAACCCTAAAAAACAAATTAAAACAACTACCAACCTTAAACAAATTCCCGGAACTCAACCAAACCCTATAAAAATAAACTGTCCAAAAATTAAACAAAAATTCAAACAAAACAAAGCTGAAAATATATCAATCGTTTTCTTTATTTTATTCTTAATTTTCCAATGTTCAACAAGTAAAAAAAATCGTAATTTCAAAAATTCCTAATAATTAAAATAATAATCATATTATATAACTAAAATATTACATAAAAAAAAATACCACGTGATTATAAGTGACGTGTTATAATATACAATATATATTTATGAACTACAATTATATCTAATTATCCCGAAAATAGGACATGCTCACCCTTTATGGGCCCGGCACGCCTATATATATCAACAAACAAAAAGGGTATTCAAATAAAATATATTTCTTTTTTTTTAAAAAAAAACTAATACATATTACATAATTAATAAAAAAAAATACAAGGAAAAGTTCACTGACTTATTTTAGTTTTCCCGAATATAAATTTTTACGCTGACATTGCACTTCCCCAAAAATCATCTGCAGACCTGGGCTCTCCAAATGCGGATTCCACTAACGGTTGTACCTGCGTGGCCAACGAAGCCACCGCTCGCTGCAATATATCGTTCCCAACTGAATTGCCAGATCCCCCTGCGGAAGATATCGACACAATACCGTCTTGACCATTCGGCGGAAGTCTACTCGTACTGGCTGTGAATCCGTGAGAAACCGAAGTCATCCCGGGTCCTAGCTCACGATACGCACGTCTTTTTCCGTCATTGGTCCCTGCCAGGCATTATCAGAAACGGTCTCCAACGGTGCCCGAGTTCCCCTTTGAGGTCTGGAACATTGATGCCGCAGATGCCCCTCACCCTGACAGTTGTAACATCTCTTACGACGCATTCCTGAGTCAGGTGGCTGATTTTCATTAGTGGATCTTGAGCCCAGGATCATGCCATTGTCCTTTTTGATTAACGTTATTTGTAAGTAAAACTCCCCTAAATCTACTAAACGGGACACGGTTTCCATTTAAAAGTAAACTTAATTAACACTTTTATAATTTGGAGAAAAAAAAATCTTTTACAAAAAAAAAATTAAGTCAATTTAATAAACACTTTTTAAAAAAAATCTTTTGAAAAAAAAAATTAAATTAAATAATAATTTTCATAAAAAAAATTAACACTTCATACACAAAAACAAAATTTTATATTTATCAACACTACTGCAACCTCAACCAGGCTCTCTTCCATCATTCTTCCCTTTTATTTCATTTTAACAACTATATTTTATATATGGACTATTACAATATAAACTAGAAGTAAGGGGGGGGGCGGAGAAAAAATTTAAAAAAAAATTAAGCACGTGCCAACCACAAAAAAACAATTATTTCTCATCTTATAGCACATACAAACGCACACAAAAATAACATCTTTATCTCCCT